TTTTGTTAATCCATTTTTTGGAATTCAGAACAAACTTGTTTTTCTTTTTTTAATATATCTGGAAACATGTTTCTTCAAAAATGCCTTGCACTTCTTGAAGTATCGCGGAAGCAGTAGCTAATGTTTGTTTATTTTGTCGGTTTTGCTATGCTCCAAGACGTCCAATTTTATAGTAGCTAAAAGGAGATCTAATTCATAGGTAGAGAAAAACAGTGCATTTCTGAAATAACAGATTTTTGAATCATCGTTTGCTTTATTCGAGGAAAAAAGGCAACTAAGAAAGTACTAGAATGGAAGCTCGTGTAGCGTAGGAATCCTGGCCTAGATGGACTGCTAGAAGGTGGCACTCTTTTCTTAAAGAGTTGACTCGATTAATGACTTTCGCATAATCTGAAGTATTTTTTCCTGTGATTTCAGCTGATAAAATTAAACGTCTGTCCTGAACAAGAAAAAAACTATCTTTTTTTTGAGAAAATGGTTTTTTTATGATTTTTTCTTGTCGATTTAGTGCCCAAATTGAAAAGCCCTTGACCCAATTTACGACTACTGAGCGCATAGCAGTACTAAGTTTTTGCCGCACTGAACAAATTTTATACCTCTGTTCTCTAAAATTTTCGTACTATCCTGAAAATTTCGCCATGCTCATGTCATAGAAAGAGAGGGAACAGCATTTATATTTTTTTTTCTTAAGTGCAGAGCTGCTCTGTGAACAATTATAAAAAGTGCGTTGAATTTCCTCCACCGCCGGAATACCCGCTCTACAATTGCAGAAGATTTCAACTCTTTGCAGAAAAAAAAACATGATTCGCAATGACTATTCACTGTGAATCATCAATGTTTACCTCATCCAGCAAGGCTGAAAAATTCAAATAAAGTATAAACTTGTTGCAAAAAATTCACAATTTTCAGGTGAAAAAGTAGAGCCGGCAAAACCGCCAAAACTTGGCATCTTCTCTGAATTCCATGAATTTACTCGGAAACAAATCAAACACTTCATGGAAACATTCAGAAAGTTTGTTTTTCAGTATTTCTGCCTCTGCTTTTTATTACTCCTTCAGAGACAGTTCCAGAGGATTTGTTTGTAGCGAATTTGCTTCGCTGAGTTTCGGTATTTTTCCACATAATTTTGCTTTTGCTAGCAGAGGCTAGTATAGCATAAAATCGTTTTCAAGTGAAAACGATTTTAGCACATGGCACAGAAAGTCAACGTTGAAATGTTTTCATGTTTTTTAAGTTTGCTAAATCAAAACTTCAGTTTTTCTAGTTCTAAGCTTAAAACTCTCTCACTTCTCCCCACCCTGCTTGATGCTTTTTCACTAAGCTTCCGTTGTTAGCAACTAGGCGCCAGCAAATTTGCCCATGTTTTTTCGTTTTGCGTCGATTGCTAGAAATACACGAGAAAATAACGACTTGATGAAGAAAAACAGGAGGAGGGAGTGAACTATCTCGAGGTTTGAAAAATTGCCTCAAATCATTACTCCTAGGAATCACTTGTAGCCTGATATCATAAAAATGCCAAAGCCCTTTCGTAACTCAGATTTTTTGTTGTGCTACAAAGGGCCAAGCGAGCTAATTTTCTCTGCTTTAAAAATTCGGGACGTGTCGTTTTTGAAAAGGAATATTCTCTAGCTATCAAATATAGGACATTAACAAGAATGCCAAGACCACTCGGCCAGCCCCATATTGGTGACGTAAAGTCAAAAGTCAAAAACCCCTTCCGTATTGGCTCCCAGTTAAAACGGATGTGCTTGGAAGTACCCAACAGCAACTATCCGCTGGCAAGGCTGTAGATGGCTGCCTCTTTCAAAAATTACTACATATGATGTAATTACAGTTTTTAATTAGCGTCGGTGGAAAAATTACAGATTTGACGAAGATGGCGATAATTTCATTGATTTCAACGAACTGAAACGAATGATGGAAAAGTTGGGCGAGGCACAGACGCATATTGCACTCAAAAATATGCTCAAATTGGTGAGTTTTTATGCGTTTTTTGCAGCAATGCAATACGAAAAACGCATATTGACGAGAGGTTGTCTGTGTGTGTGTCTGTGTGTGTGTGTGTCTGTGTCTGTGTGTGCGCTGCGCGTCTGTACCGATTTTTCATCTCGAGACCGGCAAAAGCTACGGGGCTGAAACTTTGGGGACTTCATCTACATGCACGTTCGAGCCCCTATCCCCAAAATGGGCGGTCTTTCCCGCGTGGTACCCACGA